AATCAAAGGTTTGTGGAAATACGATATATCGTTCAGTATCTTTGAAACAACCAACCACAATGCCAGCGAAGTTGTGAAAGTTGAATAATCTCATCAGGCATCCACACAAAATGTGGTTCGTCACGTTTACACATCCTGTCATCTCACGACCACCCTGGGTTGCCTGTGCCCCGAAACGCCTGCTGAGAACGTAGTGTAAATGTAGCTTTTAACTGCAGTTCTGTACAATAATGATAAACAAAATAAATAATATACAGAGAGTACAAAAAAAACCCCCAAAACAATATAGACAGGAGCTTGCTCACAAAGTACATCTTTAGGTTGAACCCATTGTTACATCTAGTTCCAGTGTACTGTAGGATTCAAAAAGGACAATAAATACTATAAAAATGTCATCACATCTGGGCGTCCAGTATACTTTGTGACAATGACCCCGTCTTTCAGTAGTCCTTTGTTAACATGCTTGCGTGCTGCAGGTTGTGTGCGCGTGTGCTCAGCATGGGACGATCCTGCATGCTTTGTTTTTGGTTGGGTTTTGCATGTTGGCTACTACCCCGCCCCCACCCCCACCTCTTTTTAGGCGCAGCCCACGGCTTGTCGTCGGTACTGCAGATGTTGCTGAGCTACCATGACCTGCTGAGCGGCGCCGACAAGGACCTGGTGTGGCAGAGCGTCGATTTCCTCATGAACCAGGAGCAGAACTGCAACTGGCCGGCCGAGCTGGGCGCCGTGATCGAGCGTGAGAACGAGCTGGTCCACTGGTGTCACGGAGCTCCGGGTACTCTTCCACTTCAATTCAGAATCAGATCTTTCCACCAAGTTGTACAGCACAGTAAATGAAGGGAGTGGCCAATATCTATGGATTAATCAAAATCACTTGACGAACCTGTGCACAGCTTCACCCTTAAGGTCCATGCAAACACACACAGCACATCTGGCTCACAGTGCAGAGGTGCGAGGTTCGGCCTTACCTGTGTGGACTTTGCATGTTCTCCCCATGCCTGTGTGGATTTTCTCCGGGAACTTCTGATTTTCTCCCATATTCCCCAAACACTCAAAATTGTCCCTAGGTGTGATTATAAGTGTGGATGCTTGTTGTCTGCCTTTGTGCGCCCTGGGATTGGCTAACGACCAGTTCAGGGGGTATCCTGCCTACTGCCCGAAGACAGCTGGGACAGGCTTGCAGCACACCCGCAACCCGTTATATCCATCCATTTTCCAATGCGCTTTATCCACACAAGGGTCGCAGGGGGTGCTGGGGTCTATCCCAGCTGTCTTTGGGCAGTAGGTGGGGGACACCCTGAACCGGTTGGCAGCCAATCGTAGGGCACACAGAGACGAACAACCATCCGCACTCACACCGGCACTTTCCGCTTGATCTGGTTTTTCACTGTTCCAATTTGGCACCAATGCAAGTGGACTGTAAAAGTCAAAAGTTAAAAATAATAATAATTAAAAATGATTAAACGTAATATTGAAACCTTGATTCAGATTCTCAACAAATTCTAGCTAAGGTTGTAAGAAACGTGTCTGCAAATCCTTGCTCGCCAATGCCTCCTGAAATGATATCGAATGCGTCTGTTTAATCCGCAGGTGTGGCCTTTCTATTCGCTAAGGCCTACTTGATTAACAAGAAGCCACAATATTTGGACACGTGCATCCGCAGCGGGGAGCTGGTGTGGCAGAAAGGTCTGCTGAAGAAAGGTCCCGGCATCTGCCACGGTGTAGCCGGCAGCGCTTACGTCTTCCTGTTGCTCTACCGCCTGACTGGCAACTCCAAATATATCTACCGAGCTCAGAGGCAAGAATCCCATCGCACACAACATCAACAACATCCAATACCAGAGCGCTATTGTTAATTTGCTTTCACAAGGAGAAATGCAGTTCTTGAAGACATTCGTTTGAAGACGATCGATTGACAAAAGCTTTCATCAAAGCCACGATGGTCAGAAGACAAGACATTCGTGTCAGAAGTGGGATTCGAACCCACGCCTCCAGTGGAGACTGCGACCTGAACGCAGCACCTTAGACCGCTCGGCCATCCTAACCTGCCGGTTTCATCGTCACTTGTTTTTATTTTTTTGGTCTTTCGGTCAAGCAATTGGTTCTTTTGATTGGTTCTTGAAGACATTCGTCAATCGATTGACAAAACCTTTGATCAATTCCACGATGGTCATAAGAAAACAGACTCCTGTCAGAAGTGGGATTCGAACCCACGCCTCCAGGGGAGACTGCGACCTCAACGCAGCACCTTAGACCGCTCGGCCATCCTGACCTGCTGGTTTTGTGGGCACTTATTTTTATTTTTTTGGTCCCTCGGTCAATTTTTTTTTTTTTTTTTAGACATTCGTCGATCGATTGACAAAACCTTGAAGACATTCGTTGATCGATTGACAAAACCCTTGATCAAGCAGCACCTGAGACCGCTCGGCCATCCTGACCTACTTGTAGCGTTCTTTCATCTTTCATTTTTTTTGGTCTTTCAGTCAAGATTGGTTCATTGATTTATGAAGCATTCACACCCGCAGGTTTGTGCTCTCTCTCCATCGCAACATTCTTTTTCAACCTTTGGCTTTCCCTCCACAAAGGTTTGCAGAGTTCCTGTTCACGGAGGAGTTCAAGGCAGGCTCGCGCTCAGTCACCAGCGTGTACAGCCTCTTCGAAGGCCTGTCTGGGACCGTCTGCTTCCTGGTGGACCTGCTGCAACCCGAGCAGGCCGAATTCCCGCTCTTCTGCGTCTTTGAGTGAAGGACAGAACCCACGAAGAGATTGAATACTTGATGACATTGTCTTAAAGTGTGAGAATCAAGATGATATTTGTTTTTCAAGTGCAGTAGAAACATATCTCTTCTTCAGATTGTTTATAACAGCTCTTGTGTTGGATCTCATTCGATTGTGCAGGTCTAGCCAACTGTGGAGATGCTTCACACAAGTGACGGATTACATTTTGTGTAAAAAAGGAAAAAAAAATCCCTGTGAATTCAGGAAATCAAAAGTGTTCTGATGCTAACTGTGCCTGTTTGGAGTGTCTATGTGTTTTGCACATGTAACCCACAACAGGAGTGGAAATTCTGTTGATCAAGTGTTAGGCTGGAAATGCATGTTCAGTCTTTATTAAATGGGTCATATTTTTTTCTGAGTGTGTATGTTTCATTTATTTAAGTCTTCAGTGTGACACAGAAGCTGCATTGGGTTCCAAACAACTGCTCATCGATCATGAAGTTAACACTTCATAAAGACAGTCATTATCTGCCTTAAATTTATTACGCCGATCAACATCAAACATTGATTTAAGGTGGTTTTATGTGTTTTACACATTTTTTATGCCAATTTGACACGTTTGCATTTTTTTCTTGTTAAGTTTGACCTATAAAGCTTGTGCAGTGGATTTTACCATGCGTTGCAATTTTTAGCTGTTTCAGAATATTTTTTTTTACCTGTTGCTGAACCTAAGAGAAGATTCAGAATCAGCACCAAAAAAAATCAGGTAAAGTTTATTCTCTGATTCAGAAATTTTGTCAACTGTTGACCAGTATTATTCAACCCTGTAGGTAATTATTATAAAATATTTTGTTCGCTTTTCCTCTATTCCCAATTTTGTACAATAGTATCAATTAATTGCATACAACTTTAATATCCATTTAACATCCATCCACCTATTTTTCTCTAAAGAGCTTCATCGATGTTGGTGAGCTTGTGCGTTAGACGGTTGACTGCGCATAGTTTGAACGGAAATACAACCTAGCATCACAATATATTTGTGAAAATTAGGTCAATTTTTTAAAATGCCACTTTGCCTGTGGCTGTGCTGACTTTATACTGACTATACAATGTTGACAGTTTCACAGCCCGGACTGGATTTCAGTGGACTCGAACAACAATTTGGCATTAAAGCAAAATGCGCTCATAAAATATGTCTTAAAAGTCAACCGAATTTCCTAACACTTGAGCTCTGTAGATCTTAGGCCATATTTTACTGTTCGCGCTTATGTTTTTTTT